TTTGTCAACATCAATAAAATGCCAAATAATCATACCTAACTCATTAAATATCGAAATTAGAAGAAGAATGCACTATTTTTAATTATAGGAAATGCGTTTTTCTGAAGTACATAAACTTTTGGTATTGACTGTATAGCCAATACAACATTGAAACGGATATGACAAACACAAAACTTCTGTTAATCGATTTTGATTAAAAATTTTGATTGAGAAAATTTCCATGGCAAACTGCGAGCTCATCAGTTTCATTTGAAGGGAGTTAATAAAAATGTTGTCGATAAAGAGACGATAACGAAATTTGTTATCAGCGAACTCAGCGCTGATGCAAAACTTTAGATGACACACGCTTACATAATTTAATTAAACTACGCGACGCATACAATACCCAACGTACTACTTACGTACTATACAATACCCTTACGTACTACGTAAACAGCGTCAAGCTGTTTAATCGTAGAAACGCGATGATCTTGAACTACAAGCGCTCTGATTCACTGGGGTGCAAGCACCATGACCCGGGGACGTTTATCAGCAATTTTTTTATCTCACCCCTATCTCGAACATTCTATCGAGACAAATTATTTTCCATGTCTGATTCCCTCTTTTCCCAATCTCCCTCTTCTGTAATTACAATTTCCTCGCAATAACCCCTGACATCCAAAACAGTTGAATGATTATCAGATGCGCACTTAATCCACAGAGAATTATCGCAACGTTTATAATAAAAATAATGAAATACTTGACCCAGCGGGAACTTAAGCTGTCCAGTTTCGTCATCATCATCAGTGAACCGTGAAAAGAAATCGCGTGGATTAAAGTTTGGTATCATGCCGCGGGTGAACGGCCTTCTTTTTTAATGAACGATTGATGCAACTATTTCAAAAAGCAGAGACGAGCCACGATTTCGATATATCCCGTGAACGAAGATGGTAAGTATATGTATACCTCATCCGTGGAACGATACTTGCGCAAAATAACGAACTACCCGGGGTTTTGCAACCAAGTTAACAACTTCAGAAATTACGAAAACATCTGGTAAACACGACCGTCATGATAATCATCGTAACAATCATTATACCTAGTAGTATAATCGTGATAAATATACATTCAAACGTGTTCATCTATTAAAATATTTAACTCGATACGTAAGATCTAATCTAAATTCTAATAACTCCTGTTTCGTAGATTTATAAGATGACAAAATAAAATTCTTACATATCAAATGCTGCTTCGAATTATACATACAGAAAGTATATAGATTATAAAATTCACTTGAACTTGGTTTCGAGTAGATGGAAATAAAAAAAGAGGAGAATCACTTTCACTCTGTTTCCGGAGATGAAAGCAAATCTTATTCTACATATATTTTTAGAAAGTTTTACAGCCATGCACGGTTGTTTGCGGTAAGAAGCCGTTCAGAATCGCCGGCGATTCGTTACCGGTGCACCATGTGTTTTCTCTTTAACGGGTGCAATTAATACCATGGCTGGCTCACAATTAATGCTTAGACGTGTGGCGAATTAATCACAGCGAATTTAGTCTTCCGCTAGCGAATATTAAAAATATCAATAAAGATTTATAGGGACTGAATCGCTACCCTTTATAGCAATGGAACGATGATATGTATTTTTTATTCATAATACTTAACCAATGGAAGGAATTGATTACGTATCGCAATGACATAATAAAATACGTCAATTATCACTGCCTGACACTGAAGATATCAAAGTCGAAACAACGCTTATCAAAATGATCGTTCTGCTGCAGTCTTTCCACTAACGTCGATGAGCAATGTTCACGAAATATGTCGTGTAATTAAAAAGTAAAGGAGCTAGCGCTGAATAACAAGTTCTACGAAGAGAGCGTCGCAAGATCTACGAAATCGAGCCTCACGATCTTTGTAAACATGCTAAACAAAAATTAAGCATGCAGCCGTACATCTCGAGACATCATTACGATTCTAAATAATATTTACTGCGGCTGAAAATTTTTACGTACGTCGACAGTACGTGTATTTTTTCCTTGAAACAACAGTAAATCAGTGTGACTAGATTTATAGGTGTCTCAATAACATTGCACGTCCATACGGATTTGTCTATTATAAACTACATGAAATACTGGTTTCAGATATTATCAGTGCGGCAATTATTTATGTTCAGTAGTTACCTGTAATTGATATAACGGTCTGTACTTGTCTATAATTGATATCAAACGACCTCAATTTATTTTTTACGTGAAACTTCGTCGACATCTGATACGTACGTAAATAAACATGATTTCTTTGGAATATCTGATTAACTTTTAATAGAACATCACTTCTTCGTTGCACGCATTCTTTATGCACATAAACGAGAATTATAGAACACAAGAGGTTTAATTAAGAAAAATTACCATTTCGAGTATTTGAAATTACGATAATCTTATACTTCTTACAAGGCAGCAATTTTGTGAGCTATCATAGTTCTCATTGAAGGCAACGTATGGACTGCGTTATCGTAAAAAATTTTATTTATAGAAATAAGCGAGCCATTTGGAACGCCAACTATACGTGTCTGTTCTTCACGTAGATAGACATATCAGGGCAGAATAAATGATTCTGTTTAACTTCTTGAAAATCCTAACGTTTGATTTCAGAAACGAACTTTGGATTTTGCATGCACAGTGCATTATTAAAAAGTATGTGTTAGATAATCATATTACGTAACTGATGTTACGACCAATTGTATTTGTTTTCTTTTATTTTGTCTTTCATTATAATTACTGTGCGCAATGTCTGTTACAAAAAAGGAACAGTCTGTGAAACCTTTACGATTTAAAAACGATAATTTAATACTATTGTTCTCAAAGCTAAAACAATTCATTTGCATATCACGGTCCATCGAACGTTTGTGTTTAAAATGTATATATGTACATTTGAATTTCGCGTTTAATAACATATGAAAAATGGAAGAGGAAGAGCACAACGCAAAGTCTGGATTTTCTTGTAGGCAAACTGTTCAGTCACCTGAATCGTTTAATATTAAAGACAAGAAATGCGATTGACATTGACGAAAAAAATCTGAACAACAAATTAGATAAATAATTAATGTGACGCATTGGAAAACATTACGTTTTTTTCCCAAGCGCAATAACGTTATTAGCATAAACTAACATATAAGCAATAATTTATAGGTACATTTTGCATGAGTTATTAATTGTCGTGTTGTAGATTTAGAAATACAATTTCATTAAGAAATGTTCGACTTCTAGTTCTTCGTGCAAACTATATAGTGTGCGACCGAAAGTCACGCTAATCGGTAGATTATGCACTTTTAGCATTTATATAATATTGAATAACGGTACAAAATATGCTTTATCTTCTGAACCATGCTCATTTCGTCGTTCAAAGTCTCCGAATGTTTACGTAATTAACGTAACAGTTGCAAATTTCAAGGCTATATTTTCTTAATATATGAACACACATGTATAATTCTTACGTACGTCGTTCTTACTGTCCCTTTTCATTCATTACCAGAAATATATTTCGTCGTCAACAAAACAAGCCAATTACCTAGGGACAAAAAGTATTTTTATTCTCGGATCGAATAAAAGAAGATAAATATCATTGCAAAAAATTAATGTAACATGCAAATGGGTCAATAATACTTAAACATCGATTTGGAAACGCATAAAATTACAATTTCAAATCGAGACGTCTAAGCAACAATTAAGAATACAGTTTCTACTTGCTCTGAGGCATCGGTATAATTATAGACGGTACTTGCAAAACGTGATCACGCTTCACATGGTTCACATTGAAATCCTTCGTAAATATTAAAATTCTGTTGAAGAAAAATTTACTGAGGAACCCTATTTGTATTGTACACGCGCAATTAAAAAGCTATTATCATCATAAACAGAGATGGTGATCCGTGTGGTTATTACGTCGTTCGAATAACTGCAATAATTTGTCATTGCGCGTAATTGTGAGTATTGACTGATCACTGTTTTATGAATGAATTNGAGTTCTCACCGCGACGAAAGTTCATAATTACAGTAAGGAAGAGGGTAACTGAATCATAGCTTTCGTGGTCTTTCGGTTGATCAACAGACCAGAACGGAAACGAATTGCCTAGGAAGACTTTGATCCCATCAAACGTTATTATTTCGTCCTTAATCGACTATCATTCGAGGACATCGAAATGAATCATTTTCCGGATATGAACATTTTCGAAATACAGAAACTGTGTGAGTAGAAGTAGCACGTCGTACTCGAAAAATTATACTCTGATTATGTACACGTGTCGAATATATATGTCAATAATTGTTGTCAACAATGCTGACTTTCATGTTACGTCATGCAACACAAACAAGTTGAAATTTCACGAATGATGAAAAATTTGAATTTCATCAAATTCCGGAATACACGTGGCATGCATGCATACATATGTATCCCGGCTGAAGAACATTTCTACGATTTCTCTGCAACCTTCTTACAGGTTTCTTTAGTATATCAATTACCAAGTAAAATGATTCCGATTACAAGAGAGGAATTAAAATATATTTCAAAAAGAATTTTATCGACCATCTATCAAGTTCGATGGCATCAGACTGTTATTACATACTTGTCACTATCATTATGACATATCTTTGAAATTACTTAATTTATCCAAGTATTATAGCTTACGTTTACGACTCTGCTATTTTAAGTAAAGTTTTTCAAGCATTTCGTACAGGCCGTTATCGAGAACGTAGATTTATGAAAACGGGAATAAGAAAAACGAATAAATTACCACTCTTCATTCGCAGTTCCTTTACACTTCACATAAAACCAGCCATTTGACGTAGATATCATACGAATATGCATTTTATGCGACCCGACGGTCAGAATCTTAAACGATCACGTATTAGCAGGAAAATATTATTTTCAACTGACAGATGTCTATTTCGTACAAATTATTGCAACACGTCATCGTACGCGACGAGAAAAGTTCTCATTACGGCGAATGTAAGAAACTACGCGCGATTAATACGATGACTAATTCTGGGCGTGTTCAAGATCAACATTGAATCTAATAAGGAGTGAACTTGAATAGGAACGTATTCCTGTGACGCTCTCAGCAATGACTGATAACATTAAACGGTCATGATCAACGCTAAATTTGATCGTACAATAGAGATCGATGCGATTAGTAAATTACAATCCGTATCAATCGATCTGAAATGTGAAGAACGAAATCGACAGATATGTTCAAGCAATCTTATTGTGAATTGTTAAGTATAATTATTATCAGCTGAGGTACATTATATCGCGTTCCCGAATCTTTCCTCGTTTCGGCAAAATCGATAGCAACGGATTGAGACCATGACTTTGCGGTTAACGACATAATTAGTGAAACTTGGTCAACGAAATTGTCAAGGTTCACTCGCGACTTTCTGTGTAAGTCTCGTTTTTTATCAATGTTGTGAAACCGTTGCACATGCTTTCCACAGATATTTGACAGATGAAACACAATACACAAGTCTCGATACGTTCTCTTCAGATTTCTGATCGCAAGTACGCTAGTTCAATCTGTTAGATTATCAATCAACTTATAACAATCTATGGAACATATTTCCAGGCGATAACTTCGAAACAGACACGACTCCTAGTCCATTTATTTCATCAATTACTAACAGCGCGTTCATCGATCAAATCTATAAATAAAACCGTATAGTACTTGAAACAACAATAGTTCCTGCTAACCGGCTTATTCACTGACGAATATTGACAATCTTTTCAACGAGCGAAAAGGGAGCAAAGAAAAAGATGTCAAGTAAGAGGAACAGGAAGCGCTGTGAAAACAAGGAGAAATGAGATTCTTGGCAGTTCCACTTTCGATAAAATCTGTATCAAGTAAAATCAGACACTGGGTTCAGATTAAATATAACTACGGTCGGTTTGAATCTGCAGTTTAAAGATGTAAACATGCCCAAGGTATTAATAATAGATTCTGGCTACTGTGCCCGATTTAAACATTTACTTCGAATATCATCGTGTTCAATGTGTGAAAGAAAATTGAAATTTATCTTACCTTATAATTAGTGACGTTGTCGAAAAATAAAATAGCTTCGAAATGATTGAAAGAGAACGATCGACGCGAAGACACGAGCGACAGCGTGCTGACAAAACACGCACGACACCCGAAAGTTCGCAGAAGACTAACCGTTTCGTTATTCGTCATTACGGCTGCGGGCGTGCCTTAGTGCCTTCCTTCGTTTTCTCTCTCTCTCTCTTTTTTTCTTTCTATCTGTCTTTCTCTTCTCTTCATGTACGCAAGCGTATGAAATGGCGCGAATTACGGGCACTGAATCAGGTTCAATTTTTAAGTTTTTGTAATTCTCTTTCGAAACGCGGTACGATATATATATAATACTTTCAAGCTATGTTTTGTATCATAAAAATGGATATGTTAAATATCAAAAGAGCATATGTCAATTAATGTATTCAGGCTAAGATAAATGAAAGGATATTTCGAAATTTGGAATCATTGATTACTAAAAATTAATCTCTATGCAAACGATTAGATACACTTAATATTTGGTAGTTATACATTTTAAAATAAATATAATAGATAAAGAATTTATAGACTTACAGATGAATTAATGTCGAATATGTGCATAAAATTTCGCATTAACGATCGACACATTTCTACTCGTAAGAGATTGAGATAAAATCTAAATTTTATAACACAAATAGGTCACCGAGGAGATAGAGATACTAATATACTATTAAAGAGTGGCTGCGACCGTGCAATCATGAGGACAGCAAATAGGATCAAGTGGAGTTCAAAAACATAGTCGTTAATTGCATCGAAGAAGTCAGCGACCGACAAGTTTGGCGCGATAGGTAATGAATAAACGTAGAACGCCAACATTATCGATTTTCTACCGGCTACCTCGAGTTTAGGTTTCGAAATTTCTACGTATAGCAGCACTGCACAAGTGGGTATAGAAGACAAATTCCTCCTACCCATGCTCCTACCATCAAGGAGTCCTCTCTACTGCCCTGCAACTACCACCACCACCTCTGCTCCTAATAATAATCATAATTTAACATCCAGAAGTGCTGTTGTCTTATACACGTGACAAAGATTTTTATATTTATCTCAAATTGTATATTTTGTTTAATTAAAAAGCTTGACCATGGCGGAATTTGTTGAAAAACGATGCGAGGATATGATTCCCGAATTAGAACAGATGGAAAGAATGAAGCTGTTCGACAAAAATGAAATTCGGTAAGAGGTGCAGGTTATATTTTCGTATTATATTGTTTATTTCGATTAACAATCAGCTTTTTTAAATTGTAGAGGAATTGCAAAAAAGTTGAAAGAATATGAATATAAAATTCAGCGACACACGAAAACTAAGGAAGATTATTTAAGATATATACAGTACGAAATGGATCTTCTTAAATTAATCAAACAACGCCGAGGAGTATGTTATGAGATTTGAGAAAATAATTATTTCATTTTAACTTTGAACCCTTCAATCGTTTGTGTAATAATTTCTTTCTGTTCAACAGAAATTTGGTATGAATCAGAAAAAATCAGATATCGATTACATGATTACAAATAAAATGAATTATTTGTATAGAGATGCAATATTTAAATTCCAAGATGATATTCGATTTTTCATTGCCTATATCAAATTCTGCAAACATGTTGTAAGTGATCAGAATACAGATTTTCTTTCAACACAGATATCGATATGTAAATCTACATAATTTTTTATATTGTAGCACTTGCAGAACAACGTTAGTAACATGTTAGGTCAAATGTTATATCTTCATCAGGATAAACCAAAATGCTGGCATATTGCTGCTCGTTGGGAGTTGGAAGAAACTAAAAATATCACAAATGCACGTCAGTACCTCTTTCGAGGTCTACATATACATCCCACTTCTCAATTATTATTTCTTGATGCTTTCAGGTACATAACAAATGTTCCTTATAATTATATTAATATACATGTATTTATATTTGTAAAAGCTAATTTCGTGGTTTAGATTAGAATTGAACGAAGCATTGACCAATGATGAAAGAGGTGAGAATAATAGTAATGACACAACACCAACGGGAACTGATGATAATATGACTACTAGATTGAAAAGAGCTAACGTTATATATGAACAAGCGTCAAAACGCATTAAAGATATCAAGTTCATTATTGAATTACTGAACATTACGAAAGAATACAAACATGCGCAAGCATTGCAAAATAAAATCGTAAGGTATAAATCATGAAACTATGGTTACCAGCTATGAGTTGATACGAACTTTAATCATTTTATCTTATTTTTAGTGATATCATTCAAGAATATCCTCATGAACCTCTAATGTGGAACACAATGGCCAGACGAGAATTAGAAGGACTTGTTCAACCTCCTCTGAATGATACAACAATGGAAATTGATAGTTCGGAACAAGTTTCATTAAGAGATCGTATAACTTCTTGTAATAAAGTGTATCAAACAGCAGTCAAGAAGATTAAAACTGAAGAAATGTGGTCATTTTATATAGAATGTTTAATAGAAATTAACGAGAAACCCTCGTTACCAAACTTCAAAAGGAAATTATTAAAAACTGCATTATCGCAGGCACATCAAGCAAAAAAATTGAAAGAAAAATATTATTTGCATTGGGTTAGTAAAATACTTCATTGTTCGTTAAACGAATAGTACGATAGAGAAAATTGTAAAACACCATTATTGCAGATCAATATGTTAAACGTTGAAAAGAAAGATGAAAATACTGATAAGAAGCTGAAAGAGATTTTGAGTATGGCAACTGAAACTTTGCCAAGTAGTATAAGTCTTTGGCACGCTAGAGTAAGATACTTGTTTGCTTATGGAGAAGACGACGAAGCTGAGGCTGCTTTTTCTAAGGTACAGAAGGATTTACATCTATCTTTGGTGCATTCATATTTACGTTGTATGATTTTTTAGGCAACGCAAATCCTCGGTGAAAAATCATTGCCTCTATGGAAACTAAAGATATTACATGTACAATCAAAGTGTCCCGAGAAAAATGAACAAGTTTTCCAAGCTGCTATGCAGGCACATCCAAATATCGCTCAAGAAATAAAACCTACTTACATCGAATGGCTGGTCCTAACAAAAAGTACGTATAATGTTACATTTGATGGCATGTTCATTATTTATTATATCATTTATTTTAGATATACAAACGGCCAGAAAAGTTTATGACAACATCTGTTTGCAACCCCCTTTTTCTCTTGAATTGCACAGAAAAATGATTGAACTAGAACTTGTCCAGCCCGAAATATCGGCAAAACACGTTCGAAAGTGCAATGAAATGTCAATACTGCAGTTTGGTAAAAATAATACGAGCGTTTGGATGGAATTTATCAAGTTCGAAATGAAACACGGTGACCCAATAAAAGTTGGCGAACTTCATAGAAGAGCAGTCCAAATGTTAGAATCAGAATTGGTGGACTCATTTCTTTCAGAATACAGTTTACTTAAAGTCAGTTCAGATTCCATTAACGCCAAGACATAAGCATATACAGTAAAATGTATGATAAATACATTGTACATATAATAAGTAGGTAATTTATATATGTCACGTATATTTACGTTTATAATATGTATTCGTGCATTTACTTCATGATAGATTTACGTGCATCTAGGAATCCATTCATGACTCGAGTGGTATCTCTTTCTCCATACGCGTGAGAACAATGTTACGGTCCGTCTCATTACGTAGTCTCGTTCTATCTCCTGTTTTCAGTGTTGCTCTCATATCTAAGCACATCACATCAGTCGCCAAGGAATGTTGTTTATCTTCTAAATTTTTATCCACTCGCAAGAGCAAGCCTTCCAAGTCGTTATACGACCCTCTAAAAAGAGAAACCATGTGCAGTAACATTCATAGCCAATAAATAAGAAAAAATATATTATTTTATAAATCATTCATTGAACGTACTTAGATTTATTCAAAACATCGATCAAATCCTTTTCAGTCTGCCGCAACTGCAGGACTTCGTCTTTCAAACCCATTTCAGCCTCGTCGCGACAAAGTTCAAAGCCAGGGCGATAAGTACGATTTTCTAAACGCGTCTCCGCGCATTTCATCGAGTCAATTTTATGCAGAAGTGCGTCCTCGATTCTTACTATTTCTTTTTGTAAAATTTCCATTTCTTTTTGAATCTACAAATTATCCGATCGATTCAACTTGTTTCAAATACTAACAATGTGTATGAAATTATAATCACTTTAAGTTTTTGCCATTCCAATTCGTTGCGAGCTTTCTGCGTTTGGTAAATTCTTTTTCGTAAACTAAAATCTGTAACATCTTGCTGTGCTTTAATATCATTTCGGGCACGTTCGCGCATGACATTCATAGCTTCTCGAAAACCATAGGCATCGCTCAATTCGTTGTCAGCTAAAGTTTTAGTGTATCGGCAATGTTCCAACCACGCTTCATATGGTATTGAACTACAATAATAAAACGGGCAATGGATCTTAAAACATACGATTAAACATTATTCTTACCCTTTCGGAGTTCGTAATGCATTCGGTTTATAACTAATGTTTGCACACGTTCGATCCAAACTAAGATTTTCTCTATCTATGTTAATTGTTTCTTCTTTATCTTCTACTTCTAATTGTACCCCAAATCTAACTTCTTCTAAACGATTCAACTTTTCCCACGCAGATTGCACTCTGCGCAAAACAATTTACGATCATATTCCTGAAAGTGTCCTGTCTTCCTATATTTTACCTCTCTGTTAGCCACTTCTTAACGTTTTCAATTACGCAGAGCTCTCTTTTTAATTCTGTGTCTGCTTCGTCATAAGTAAGCTCTGTTCCTCTACGACAATCTCTCATTGAAATACATTCTGCTGTTATTTGCAACGGATAATTCAAGTTTTCTAATTCCTTCTCCGTGTCAGCTTTCTCGTCTTGTAAAGACTTTATCTCCGAAAGTAATTTATCCAACAATTTCTCCAACACTTCTCTCCAACGCGATAATTCAGTCACCCTACACAAATAATTGAAAGATATGCAATTTTGTTTAACAGCATGCAGTTTAATTTATCTATGTACCTATCTGCAAGCCGGGTATTGTTCATGTACGTATCCCATATAGTTTTCACCATCGTTTCGGAACGAATAATCTTTCCCGAATTTCGTAACTCGAATGCCTCTCCGCTCCTGAGAGCTGCATTTTGCTGTAGTTCCCATTGTTTGGCATACCAATCTGCTAAACCTGTTGCAATAAAAAAAAAATTTCGCGTTAAATTTTAAGCTGTTATAAATGGTTGTAAATTAAGAAATTTTTGTTGTAGCATCAACAGATTGAAAAATTACACTTACTTATATGGGGCAAAGGTTTTTCGTACGTAATTACAGACTTGTCCATAATTTAAGAGATGTATGCTACGTTTATACAAAAGTTTTGGATAAATAACCGTAGCACGGTATCGGGAATTAGGAATTTAGGTAAGCAGTTGCCAGAGCAACGACACTATTGCGTGCCGAATTCGATATTGATTCGATATTTTATTTAATTCTTGCATTTTTTACAAATCGTTCCAACATCTAATTTGCTATTACGTAATCAGAAGTGAATCATTTATTCTTAATCGATGTAGCGGTTCATATTTGAAAAAGAAAAAGTAGATTTTTATTTTGATAATTATGCATCCTGTGAGGAATATCGACTTGATTAATAAACCGATTGTTACAAATAGTAAAAGAGTTTGAATAATAATTTCCAGTAGAGTTGTAAGAATGTCTCAAAACTCAAAATTATGAAAGCGGAAACGAAAATAATATAGACTACACGCAAAGCAAAATGCAGACATCTGTTACGGAAGTTGTTATAATATATTCTAAATTTTAAATACCGATAATAATTAATTTAAATATCAAGCTTAGCACAAAAGATGTGAATTATACAATTTTCTTAAACATCTGACTTGAAAAAGTAAGTATTTATGTACAATTAGATAATTATTGAAACTACGTATATGTCGAGGAGTTTGAATGAAGTTATACGATTCTTCGAAAATCGGTACATGAATTTTATTCAAGGTCCGTACGTTGAACAATAAAACATCCAATAAATGTTGTTTAAATTTGATCCGTATTGTAAGTCCTGGATGTTACAATTTACAATAATTCTAAACGACAATATGTGACTACACATACACGTAGTCATTATCCTTGAATGGCGTGTTGGATGGAAGCTTTCGCTTATACGTCTGCGCATTAACTGCCTACATTACGACTCAAGCATAGCCGGGATCAAGTTATTTAAGGGAAGGCGGGATAAAATTGTATCGCATTTGTTTGTACAGTTAAATTAGTTTGTAGAATAATTTTTGAAAAAGGGAAACCTTCGTCTTTGATTATTCGAAATTACTAATCGAAATTATCGTCGGCGCCGAGCTTTTATATTGACCGTTTGAATAGTATGCGCAGATTGAGTATGAGAGGTAAGCATGGGAAGTCGGAAAAGTCGGAAACAACCAGTGATGGTGAATTGGAGGCAAATGGCGTCGCGCGTCTAAGTGTAACAAACGAGAATAACGAAATGAAGAAAGACAAAGAGAACGAAAATATCGAGTCCTCGCGCAGAAGTGCAGGAAAAAAGCGTACGTCTCGTGGCCGGCATAGTCTGAAAGAAGCGAGTAAAGATCTCATCGGAAAATCGGACGTTGAAGATACACAAGTTACCGAGTCGGAAGAAGAAAACAAGAATGTCGGAAGACCTGGACCAAGCAAGAGATTTAAAAAGGATGAAAAGACCTCTGCTATCGAAAAGGAATACGAGGTATAACAAGCATCATATTTACTTTGGTTCCACGTAGTACAATAATTATGTTTACGACAAGACCACAACCGTTGTTGGATGTACGGTTTGTTAGCGGCGTCGCGTCGCTTCGTTGGGGTTGATCCCGACTCCTTGTCACGAGAGCTCAACATTTCTCAAATGTACATTTCAGTTGTTTGCCTCTCAATTGTATAATGAATCTTTATAAAAATTAACTGTTTTTTCTGAATTCCTTGACTCCGATTAATATTTACGAAAATAATTCATATGAAACTAAAATTGATACCGCATCGATGTACGGTGATAACAAATGCGCGTTGTTTTTAATTGTGTTCATTTTTTACTATTCAGGTTCTAAAAATAGTGGGTCAGCGCACTATCAAAGGTCGTCGTCAATTTTTAATCAGATGGAAAGGATACGACGAAGATTCCGACACATGGGAACAAGAAAAAGATTTAAATTGCACCGAATTAATCGAAGAATATTTAGCCGAAAATGCCGAGAACGAAGAGGAGATAAAACCAAAAAAAGCGGAAAATTCATTAAAATCTCCGGGAAAAAGCAAATCTCCAAAAATTGACAAGCGGAATAAAAAAGCAATGAAGACTATAGTAAAGAAAGCAGAAAATGGTATTAATAATTAAGCATTGCTGAAGTGTTGCGACGATTATTTAATTTTGCTGTAATTGTTCACTTGGTGTTTTTAAATGAATGTCAGGTAAACAGATAACACCATCCGATGAAGAAAAAGATGACAAGGACAATCAGAAAGAATTTGAAGTAGAAAAAATTATTGAAGTACACTTCAAAAAGAATAAGACGAGGGAGTTCTTAATTCGTTGGAAAGGATTTACACCAGCGGACGATACATGGGAACCAGAGAAAAATTTAAATTGTCCAGAGCTAATTGCTAAATTTATGCAGAAAGTGGAAAAAGCGAAGAATACCGAAGCACGCGAATTGAGAACTAATCGTCCTCATACAAAAAGATATACTTTAACTACCCACGAGCCCGGTAGGCGATTGTCTCGTCGAAATATGGACAAACAAAGGTAGAGTTCATGTGACTCTGTTAATGCTTATCGTGTTCTGTGAATCAGAAATTAATATTCCGTTTTTCCTTGCAGAGCTACGTATCATGAATGTGATGAGTAAGAGATTACAGAGTATCAAGACGTTCATACGTGCACAATCACTTAACAAATCGGTTAACTCCACTTTTTTAATTTTTAATATGCAAAATATATCAAGGGTCGCGGTAGCGACCGGAAGGCAAATTTAAGTCTGAAGGTGGCATTTTCTTTACAGTTAGATTTAACAGCTAAATTACCATGTTTTCTTTTACTATGCGGATAATATGATAATAAATGCTTATTTCAATATATATTTTAAAAGAGAATATAGTTTTATACACTTTTTCTTTTATGGAGTTAACCGATTCGGCATGTGAACGCCTGGGGTATGTATACGTGACTTGCTTTGTAAAAAATTCTCCCACAGTCACGTTTAATGGCAATCTAACCAACGTGCAACTTTTTTCTGAGTCATCTGCGTCGGTGGCAATTAATAAACAAGTGTTTTCGTCTTTCTACGTACTGTGAAGAACTAAAGCATGTAATGCCATATTGAGAAGTCATGGTGCGTCATAAGACTATAATGTTTCGGTCCTTTTCTTTTTTTAGATTTGTCCCTCATTATGAAGGAATTACACTACTATTACATACATGTATGTAAACATTATATATCATTTTTTATTACGTTGTAAAGTGTCAAACATTTTCAATGTTTATAAAATATGTATATTGATACTTGGATCGAATGCAAAGTATCCTATATTTACTCTATAATTCGATAAAACATTAGTGGATAAAACTAATTTGAGATTGGCAAGAGTAAGTGTCTGTGAAATTGATTAGTAAATTGTAGATCTAGAATAATTAAAACTTGTATCATTTATGGTTTAAGTATTTCTATAAGTACTATAATTGAATATAAGAAGATTCTGATTCTATTAATATAAAAACTGGCATGAACCAAATAATTTTCATAACATGTTGGTTCATATTTATAAGACAAACAAAGAAAGGATAAAAATCATTTCAAATGTTTTATTTCATAACTTCTAATATTCTTGCCAGTAAATAAAAGACATACACCCGTTTTGACATGTGTACGAATTATACTTTGAGAAAGAAAAGGATAGTGGATTTTTGGTGTAAATTTTTTTATAATTCTCGATTTGTTATAATAATTATTACATGAATTATGCAAGTCAAAAAACGAACAAGATTAGAAATAGTTGATACCGAAAAAAGGTATTATAACAATTTCGATCAAACTGAAAATGGTATTAATTTCTGGAAAATATTTGTTATAGTATTAATCATCTTGGTCTTAATAATTCTATTTGTAATGTGTTGTCGTTACATCGGACAAATCGTTTGCATATTTAAAAGGTTCATTGTATTTTTGTTTCTATGATTTATGCCATGTGTTTGTCACATTTATGTCTAGTTTTTGGTACTATACTACAATAAAATTATATGTACGTTCGTAAAGATGCCTTGTCCGACGAAATAGCAAGTGTAATGATGATTGTTCTCCCATAATAAAAAGAACTAACACCAATTCGTATCTGAAACAACGATTTTCATGGCCCGCAACATGCGATTTTTCAAAATTTCATGTGAGACGCGATGGACAAAGGAATAAACAATGTGAAAATAAATGTAAACTAAAGACTCTTCTACAGGTACATCAATAAGCATATAAGTACATACATATTATGTTAAAAACAATTATCTGTCATAAATATGTTCGTATGTAAAATAATGTATAATTAGGAAAGGAAAAAATTACTTGCCCCAAATGAGCATAAAAATGTGACCACTTACAATGTAGAATTAAAAAAACGATTATCTTTAAAAATGTGTTTCTCACCCGCTCGCACGAAAGTGAAAAATATATCGAATAAGTCTGACGCCAAAAATTGTGAAAGTTACGAATGCAATGAGCTGGGTGCACAAACTACAAATAATTTTTATCATAGCTCCTACGAGGTATTACTCAACAGTTTTACTTGAATCTAATACAACTCCTTAATTCTGATAATTTTTTCTATTTTAGAATGACAGAGGTATATGTTTTTCCGATTCAGATTTAAAATTTTTGATGATTCCATTACATCCAAAACGAGCGATAGGGGACGAACTATTGTTGTGCAAATGGGATTCAGGAAATATTATTAATCATTCTAAAAAACGAGATAACACTAGTTCGAAACTAATAGAACTTACATTTGAAAATGCGGAGTCGTTCACTGACACTACGCAAAGATACGGACGTCATAAACCAAATTGTATACCTTATCCTCTGTTGTCAAAAGATTTAGCTACCGATTCAAAGTGTTTCTCAGATTCTGCAGTCAAGAAAACTACGCAGAATGTATTCCTCAGCAAATTAAAAAGGTTTCTTAAAATTTGACTATACTTTTAAATTTAGTTTAAATGAATAAAACAATGATTTTTATTATGTATGCAGGCCAACTAATTCTTTCACTTGTACGTTACCAAGTATATCTAACGTAAATAAAAAACAAAATGACCAAATCGTGACAGATTCAAAAGTCAGAGATTCTTGCAAACAAACCATAGATAATATTAGTGGGATGATAACAGATGACTTAGTTGAAGTAAACTCAGAGTCAAATTTGCTTAAGAACGACTTAGATCCCAGGAAAGTCCACCAAAAAATAATTTCAGAGGTAGTAAGAAATCAAATTAAAGAGATAAAAAATTGCGGAGAAAAGTCGGACGAAAATCTCATTAAACGCTCATTACACAATTTCATCGCGGAACTAAATTTCATACCCACAACTGGTATTGGTAATAACGAAAGTACTTTGGCTCCACCGAATTATAAGTCAGAGACAAATGACATTTATGATGAATTAGGAATATTATTCTCGCACTACCTGAAACTCCAAAGTCAACCATGTGAGAGGAAATATTGTCCATTAAAGCGTCATTTAAAGCAACAAGTTCGTCACAGTACACAAAAATGTCAAAGGAGATTCAGTTATTACCAAATATATCCATATGATCAGAGACCAACATGTAACAGTGGAAATGTCTGTGAAGACACATATGATGAATTAAAATTGATGTGCACTCCTTCAGCAGAAAGAAGGCGTGTTTATTATTACATGTTTCAAAGAAGAAAGCATTTCTTAAATCAACCCTACCGCATGTATAATCAAAATTCTACAACAACTGAACACAAAATTAAACAATGAGTGTTTGATAATTCGAATCAACCTCTTTTAAACACATGCTATGCTACTTTCTAAATAACGATAAGGTATAAGAAATAAAGCACGTATGTGTTTAAAAAATTATTTTATTTTATTAGTTACATGCGTTCACTTCGTTTTACCTCCTTCACTTGGAGACCTAAACAATACATTAATAGAAGGAATTAGAAACACAGATTTAAATTTAATATAGTTATGTTAGTAAACCAAGAAGTACCTGGTGGTAATGATTGTTTTAGTTTCTCGGCCTTTTCTTTGTCTGTGATGACAAGAGTATATAAAAATCGTGAACACCGAACCTTGAACTTAACATTATCAGCGTTCTTCTTTATTTTAACAGCTGAATTGTTGCCATGAAAAAGAAACTTCGTATGCATTTCATTGTATCATAAATATGAGATTAATATTTAACGAAATTAATTAAACTTACATTTTGCATCTTTCCTTCTTGCCTTCAACAGGAAATCCTTGATTTCTTTAATTTCTCGTGGCTGAAAAGCATTTTAAGCCAGTTAATACTACGATTATAGGCTAGGTTAAGCTTATGTCATACTCAATATATTTATAATATGCATTAACAAGCCTCTTGTATAAATATTATTTAAAAGAGAATAGCAATAGAATTCATATCAAGTACAATTAGAACCTACAGTGTTTTTAAATATCCGAGTAAGTATTTAATTAATGCTTACCATTGTGAAGTAGAGAGTTGGGTACACCTAGAAGCACCTGGAATAATCGAGAAAAATGAGTCGCACTACTAGCCAATTCAAGAAATTTCTAGATTTCTAGAAAATGTATCATTAACACATAATCCAAATGATACTGGATTTATATTAGAAAATTGGATTTTAGTAGAGCAATGAAAAAACAGCACTGACCCTTCTGTAATATAACCGGAAAAAGAGTGCGTACCAGTGTTGCGTACCCTTAAGAAGATGTATCAAATCAGCAACAGGACATTTAAAAAAATTTAACATTTTACATGCAAATTTAGTTGACAACAGAAATATAACGAGAGATATCAACAGCAAGCTTTTCGGTATGCAGTGCTATATACATCTACGATTGTATAAATTGTCATAATTGTTTAAAATACTTTCCAATACCTATAATCAAAATTGTCAATTAAAGTAAATTCATTTAATATTTCTGTAATGTAATAGATTAGATTTATGTTTCTGGTCTATTTTTTTTTTATTAATAAAACACGTGCTTTTTCTTTTAGTAAGGATTTCAAATAAGTGTATACTCTTTTGACTATCGTTCGTGCATATATATTTCTGTAGTGGATGTGGATACGTGTTGTGTATATGTAGTATATATGTGTACCTAATATACGTATGTATACGTCTGCGTTGCGCTCCGTTCATCGGTTCGCATTCGCACTTTCGTCAGTCACTTTTCCGGATCACAATCACAAGTACAGTATACGCGACGGGTCGACGAGAGTCGAGAGTCGTCGAGAGTATAAATGGTATAAAAGCGTCCTCGCCATACTTCGTTTGTGACCGTAATTTTTTGTTTAACAACCGCGTACGGAGATTGAACTGTTTTGGTGCTGAGGTAACAGCTTTACAAATTTGCAATGGATAGTCCGTTACCGCACATTATGGAAAGTGCGGATTGCGATGGTACCTCGAAGCCGAAAGACAGGTTAGTGAGCCTTCTCGATCAGATTGAAGTGCACGTAGAGCAATTGAGAAGAGATGCGTGGAGACTCGAGGAAGAAAGAGATACGCTTCTGACCACTTTAGACACGCTGAGAAACAACGAAATAGTCAGCTCATTAGAAGACAGTGAGTACTTCTGATTGCAAGGTTTCGTTTAGAACCAATCTAGAAACGTCACTGGGTCAAAATCTGTTATCAGTAGAAACTTTTACATTGTTACTTAATAAAGTCACAATCCCATTGCTTTATGCTCGTGTGTCACTTTATATGCGTCACTTGTCATTTTTACCGCCTGTTAAATCTAACCTATGAACGTCAGTAATACGTTTTGAGCGTGATCAAACTTTTTTTCAATAGCTGATAGGGATGACGTACTAAGATACGCAGAGAGACTATCTATGCGATGTTTAACTGTTGACGTTTTGGTCAAAATTCAACGTGATCAGATTCAAGAAGAAGCATTACATCAAGTATGTACAATTGTTCATTCCCTACGATGCATTAAGCAATTCTGGTATTTAATTCATTTAATTGATTTGTTTAGGTGAACGGTTTAATAGATGGTTTAGTGATTAGTCTTCGCGATGATCCAACTGGAACTCGGCAGCGGTGTGCATCCTTCATGAATGCCTGTAGTTCGCATGGATATGGTCAATCTGATAAGAACTTTGAAACAGCCATCCTGGGTTGTACTATAGACGATCAAAAACGAATAAAGAAAAGATTGCAGGGGTTGTTGGATTACATTGACAAAATGCATACAATTCAGTTACTGTGAAACTTGATTTGAGATGATTGATGTTAAAGGAAAACAGATAAGCTACTTCTCGAATGAACGATTAATATCTGTTAATTGTTTGAAAGGAGATTTGAAGAAGAAAATAAAAACTAATTAAAGCAGGGTGCTTGATGATAATTGGTGATTTTTATGGTAAATGTAGAGAAGGTGTTGCTTGTGTAAGACAGTGGGATTTTCTCTACATATATTGTTTCTATACCTTGCTATCGATGCAAATAAGCTTCATTGCACTTCATAATCCATATTTGTGCATTAATTGTAGTAGGAGTTAATATATAATTAGTATTAAAATGAATGTCCTCACTTATTGAAATAAAGAATGTTTCAGGCTTTTAAGTTCGTACATGCTTCTAAGCAAACAACTGTAATTATCTTTTCAGTATTTGCACTTCATGCAGAAGGGAAAATATAGTGTTTTTAAATCATCTTTTATGTTTATACATTTCTGAAGATTTTATAATAAAAATAAATTTTTCAGATGAAGATCCGAACGTATGTATATTAATAGAATGATTGTGAAATTTAATCTTTGTGTGGATATTTTATACATGATATTTATTTGTATGTGTTTAATATATGGCTAGTTTTAATATGCTTACGAT